ATTTCTCACAGTTGAGGAGCCTTGAAATGTGAGATCAGGGTGCCAGCATGCTCTGGTTCCGATGAGAGTTCCCTTCCTGTTTGCAGAATGTCGGCTGCTTTTTTTAATCTCACATGGCTAGAAAAGCAAAGGTGTTCTCTCAGGTCTTTAATCCAACTCATGAGGGCTCTGCCCTCATGACTTAATCACCTCCCAAGGACTCCACCTCCTAATTCCATCACATCCAGGATTAGGTTTCAACATATGAATTTTGGGGGCACACATGCAGGTATACATGAATTCTGTCTCCAGGAAAAGAGGCAATCCTATAATCATGTCTAAAGGATGTGTGTCCCTGGAGACATTCTTCAAGGGTCTGATTTATATAGTCCATCTGGTTATTCTAGTAGCAGTGGGACAATGGAATGTATATTTGTCTTAAGAGAGCTTTGAAGAGTCCCTGAAAGACCTGACATCACTGGCATTCTTAAATGCAGAGGACTTTAAAATAACAGCCACAAAAACAGGGTCAGAGGATGATCTAATGCAATCAACAGATGATTATTTTTAAGTGTCAAGAATAAGATAGAAACAGAGAGGGAGGCAAACCATAAGAGACTGTATAGTTAAGAGAACAGACTGAGGGTTGCTGGAGGGGAGGTTGGTGGGGGGGATGGGCTAAATGGGTGATGGGTATTAATGAGTACACTTGTGATGAGCACTGGGTGTTACATGTAAGTGATGAATCACTAAATTCTACCCCTGAAACCAAAAAAAAAAAAAAAAGTATGTGGAGTCCTCAGGGTGGTCTAAGATAAAGTCTATAGTTATAGTATAAAGTCTATGGTTCCAAATCTCAAGGGCACTCAAGTATTAGAAGATCACATTCTGTATATTATGACATATCTGAGAACAGTATGTTGAACATAAAAATCACAAAATTCCCAGCCCGAGAAAAGGAAAACCAGCCCAACATTTATTTCCTTGTCTCCGTGCTTTGCTTAAAATAGTCTCTGACAACATTGTCTTTCCCATCATCACCTCTTGGGCGGCTAATTTACAATCTTATGTTTTCACGCCATATTTAAGAGTTTTCATTTATCTTAAGACAATGGTGAATTATTGAAAGATTTTAAACCAGAAAAATTATATGATTATATTTGCCTTTCAGACATCTTATTCTGGCAGGAGTGTAGAGGATGGGTTAGAGACAGGTCAGACTAGCCAGTACATCAACAGTTAAGAGAGAATGGAGAAAAAACCAAAAGTAAAACTAAGAAAGTGAAAATAAAGTGGAAAGGGGAGAAATATAAGAATGATATCACAAATTCCACAAGTGGAGGGAATGATAAACAGCGCTTCTAATCATCATATGACAAATATTAGAATATCTTATTTCCATTTAACGAGGGCATTGTATGCTTCTAACTGTACATGTGCCTATTCATGTCTTTTTAAATATAGAAATAAAAAGATCAATCACTGTGTCGTGATATTCTATAAAAATTCCTGAATTCAAAATATTTGAAAATGAAAACCAAGGACTATATGAAATCACATTTCTAGAAAGTCTTAGGTTTCAATTTTTGGTTTTTTTTTTCTTTTATCATTAAATCTTTCTTCAAATAAAATCTTACTGGAAACCCAACAAGTGTAAGGATCTGGAATGCCAATTTTCCCATTCCCTCGCTCTCACTCTGACTCCTGATGAACTCTGAAAGGTCTATTGAGCTCTGTTCTTGTGACCATTCATTATTTTAAAACTGAAATTTTATATTGTGAGTTCCATGAGCTCTAGGGCCTTTTCTGTTTTATCATTTTATTCCCAATACCTAGTGCAGCACCTGGCACAAATTTGGTGTCTGGTGGATATTTATTGAATGAATGAGTGAATAAATATTAGACACAGAAAATTAAGTGACTTGGATTTAGTCACACAGCAAATTGATGAGTCAGATTTAGTATATAGTGAGTGGCCAGGTAGATATAGGTGGCATTACCAGAATAGGAGATAAAGGAGAAGAAATATAGGAGAAAGGATGCTGAGATCAGTCTTGGGTATTAGAGTTTGAGGTGCCTTTCAGGCATCCAGGTAGAGGTATCAACAGACAACAAACTGCTCAGTCTATTTATTCATTATTATTATTACTATTATTTAGAGGGGGGAGGGTCAGAGGGAGAGGAGAGAGAGAATCCAAAGCAGGCTCACATGGGGCTTGATCTCAGGACCCTGAGATCATGACCTGAGCTGAAATCAAGAGTTGGATGCTTAATGGTCTGAGCCACCCAGGTGCCCCTGCTCAGTCTATTTAGCTTAGACTCAATGGTCTAGCACTTCAACTATTCTTGCAAAAGGCTTTCATTCATTTTACTTTTAAGCACTGTGCTTGTCCCACCCTCACATAGCCACCAGGGCAGATTTTCCTTAAGTTTACTGTGCATGCAAATCACATGAGGAATATTGTTAAAAATGCAGATTCTAACTCAGAAGGTGGAGCCTGAGCTTTGGCAGTCTTTAACAAGTTTCCACGTGATACCAAAGCTGCTATGTACATTTTGAGAAGCAAGACACTGCAAATCAGTGAAAATGGCACTAAGAGTTTGTTGTCAGTTTGTTTTTTGTTTTTGTAAAATTTTACAATCTTTATAATAAGTAGAGATGGGTGAACTTGCAAAATTTTTTCAAGTGAATTTCTTTTCATAAACTTTGTTTTTGTACTTCAAAGAATATGTTTAGGTGTTTTACAAGTTCACTTTGAAGTATAATATGACTTGTAATTCATAATTTAGTTCAAGACAAATTTTCTTAATTTTAATGTGATCCCATAAACTACTTATTCTTTCTAGGAGTTGTTTTTTTTTGTTGTTTTGTTTTTTAGCTTTTAGTCTAAGGCTAAAGATTTCAGGCTAAGTTTAGCAGCTGTTGGAAGTAATGCAGTTAGAGAGGTGAGCTCTGGAAGTAGGTAAATTCAAGACATTTTTGAAACATTCAAGAGCTTAGAAAAAAAATACCAATTACAAAATAGTAACATAGTCTAAATCTAGGCAGAGGTACAGCTATTCTTATCCTGAAACATGGAGACCATCCCACCTCAAAAACAGAGATTTTTATTCAAAACCAGTAGCCTTTCTTAGATATCATTGGATTCATTTAAACTGAATGAATAACTTAGGTACCATCTGTACCTTTATCTGTCATTTCTCTTTTACTGTGATTGTTTCATAAAACTTCATTATTTGTTTTCTTTTTCATTCTTCCATTCATCTCATTCCAACTTCTCTGTATTTACTGGTAATACCAACTTCTTTCTAGTTTCCTCAGTTAGAAATTTTAGAGTACTTTGATTCTTCTGATGTTGGGGATTTCCTTTACTCGACTGCATTGACTCTAACCCTGGTTCAGACTTTCATTGCTTAATTACTGGAAGCATGCAACAGACCTTTACCTGGCGGGAAAGACATTCTGACTTAAATTTCTTCTTTCTTCACATTCGTACTGCATATCTCTGCAAGATCATTGTTACTGAAGTATCATTTTATTCATAAGTTCATTCATTGTTCTATTTATCAACCATTTCTCACACTAGTATGTGTATGGCACGTGCCATTTTCTTGTATAAAACCTTAATCAGTGCTCACATGAACTAAACGAGATAGTATTTTTATCTCCATCTTATAGGTAAGGAAAACGAGTGTTAGGTATGTTAGACTACCTGCTCAAAGTTACAATTACACCAATAAGGAAACGGTAGGGCTGAAATTTGAACACAGGTCTATTTAGCTGGGAACACTGAGCTTTAAGGTTAATAACTGCATTGAGTGGTATCTCAAGTTTAAATTCCTGTTTCTCTTTGGAGGCTTTCCATGATACAGCCCACCAGTTTTACTTAACTTCCTATGACTGCTGAACTTGCGTCCTGTATTACACATTTCAAATATTTTTCTAGTTATCTACTGTGCATTGATCTTTTTTTTTTTTAAGATTTTTATTTATTTAACAGAGAGAGAGAGCACAAGTAGGCAGAGCGGCAGACAGAGGGAGAGGGAGAAGCAGGTTCTCCGCCGAGCAGGGAGCCCGATGCGGGGCTCGATCCCAGTATCCTGGGATCATGACCTGAGCTGAAGGCAGCCGCTTAACCGACTGAGGCACCCAGGCGCCCTGTGCATTGACCTTTTTACTTCAATTAGAGAGTAAGCGCCTTAAAATAAGGTACTATGTATTACTCTTAAGTTTCTATGAAGGTCTGCCACTGTGGTGTGCACACAATACATTCTCAGTGAATAACTGATAAAATCTTTAGCACCGTCCTTGGCACATATGCATGCTTAATAAATGGTAACAAGGATTATTATTTATTATTGCTGGAGGGGCTGATGCATCGAATGAAGTCCTAAAAAAAACCCCATAAAATTCTGATCTCTGCCTCAGTCCGAAGAACTTTTTGCTTTATCTTCCTTCTGATCTAGAGTAATCGTTTCCCCGGCTAAGTTAGTTCATTTTAGTCCCATCCCACTCTTTCTATGAAGTGGCGTCAACTACCATATAGACATCGTCATAACATCAACAAGCAGCAACATTACGTCCACTACTACTGCTCTTTTTGAGAGTGCTTTGGAGAAACACAAGGAATAGTTGTAGTAATTTTTTGGAGATGAATGGTTAACGTGCTTGCTATCTATCGATTCAGCTTCATTTAACTTTAATGAAGTTTACTAGACGTGTCTGTTCAAGACTTCCTGGCTCATGTTTCTTACGTACAGAGACTCGTGCAATCAGGTGTCCCCCCTGTCCTACATGTAAGCCCTCCTTCGCATCTCCGCTCCAAGTAGAATTGGCCCACAGCCAGTGAAAGGAAAGCCTAGCCACTTGACCCCAGGATGGGAGCTGTAGCTCGAGGAGGTAATGAAAACGACGGGTTTAGGACCGCGCGTGGTCTGGTTTCCAAAAGCCCTGTCCCGCTCCCATTGAGCGCAATCGCGTCACGTCACGTCACGTAGTACGCTCCCCCGGAAGTGCCGCCCTGTAAACGGCGGGGGCGTGTCTCCAGGCAGCGCGGCGTGTAGTTACCGGAGAAACGCGGGAAGTTGGGCCCAGGTGCGGTTACAAGACGCGCGGTTGTTCTCTCCTCTTTAGCGAGCCGCGAGCCTTCTGGGGGCCCTGAACGTGAGCCTGACTGGGTCTCTGGCGCTACGGCATGGAAGTAGTGGAGGCCGCCGCCGCTCAGCTGGAAACTCTGAAATTTAATGGCACCGGTTTGGGGGATGGCCAAGGTCAGGCGGTGCGGTCTCCGGGCTCTGTACCTGTCCCACAGCCACGGCCGTCACTGCAATCGGATGAGGCGTCCCCGGACACCGGACAGGCCGCGGAGGCTCAGCCTGCAGAGGAGCAGCCACCTGAATTTGCGCTGCAGTCAAGGTCAGAACCTCCACCCGGAGGGAACTGCGTCACCGCCCCGAGCGCCGCAGAGCAGGCGGGGACTCCAGACTCTCTAGAGACCTCGGACTCGGATTCGGACTCGGACAGGTCGGGTGCCTGGGGATTCTGGAGCTGCGGTGGGGAGCGGGGGGGCAGAGGGGGAAGCCGGCGTCGGGGACTGAGAGGGTGCCCGCGTGGGCCTGGGAGAGAGGAGAGGTAGCTGAAGCTTGCTGCGCACGTGTTGACAAGTAGCTCGGACCGCCCATTCTTCGCCCTTCTCTGCAAATCGCGTTGCGAATCCGAGATTAATAATCAGATCCCTCTTCTTCCTAAATTTGGTAGTATGAAATGTCTTATGTATAGATCGCAAAAACAAAAAACAAACCGTGAGGATATTGGATTATTTCGATAACCACTCAATTTGGCGTGTCCCTTTGTGGTTTTAACTTTGAATTTTGTGTCAGACCTTTTTTTTTTTTTTTTTTTTAAATCAGGTTTAGAGTGTGGCCTTGTTTTTTGAACCAGATGAATTAAGGACCAGTTAAAGGTTTCATACGTTTCCAGTTTGGGTCCTGATAATTTTGTAGAATCCTTGCAGGGAGCAAGTGTTCATGAAATTAGTGAAACATTGTTATTTCGCATTGTTTTATGATCTGGGTAGGTTTTATAGACAGCACCTCCCGCCCCCCCCGCCGCCGTGTCTTTTAAATGGGAAACCTATGGTGAGAGAGGACTTAAGGTTATAGGATGTTAACTAAATCACACTGAACATTGTCTACAAGTATTTGAGTGTGTTACGTGGGATACTGAATAGGTGAACAAAATACCCCTAATGAGAAGGATGAAAAATAAAACTAAATACATCAATACATAAATTAGAGGTGGTGAAAATTACAGTGAAGGAACAAGCAAGGCATGGAGAACGTAATAGGAGAGCCCAGCCCTTTAAGACTGTGTAGCCATGTTAAAGTTTTAAATTCTAAGTGTTAGGGAAGCTACTGAATTTTAAGCAGAGAAATGGCATGCTCAGGTTAATATTCTAATAAGCTTTGCTCTGTAGAGAAGGAATTGAACTGGGTTCAAGAGTGAAAGCAGAGAGGCACGAGTGGAACAGGGCTTAGTGTGGAAAGAGTTGGAAAGATGTTGAATTGAGTCCATGACGTGACCATGGTTATCGGAGTTAAGTATTTTGATAAATGGGGTAGTGGGCTAGACAAGGAGGCATCAACTGTGTGGATGATGGTGCTGTTTAGTAAAATGGGGGGTAACCTATCTGGGATGAGTGTTTAATTTGGACAGTTTATTTGAGATTTCTTTGACAGCTAATTGGAGATGTCAGGGAAGCAGTAGGATAATGAATTTAAAGTTGGGAGGACAATTCTGGACTGGAGACGTAAATTTGAACATGAGATTACAGATAGGATTTACTTTAACTTTTTATTATGGACATTTTCAAATTTGTTAAAAGTAGAGAGTAATATAATGAATGCAAATGTACTCATTACCACACTTAAACAAACGGTTTCCAGTATTTTGCTAATCTTGTTTTATCTAGTATTTCTAACATTTTTTTTAACCTGAGATTTTTAGAGGAAGTCTCAAACAGTATGTCACCTTATCTGTATGTTCTTTACATTTCTAACTGATGAAGTACTTGTTATGTAACCACCATGTCATTATCAAATGTAGTAAAATTAACCTTAATTCCTTAATATCACCTAATACCCAGTCAGTATTCATATTTCTCTAGTTGTCTTTAACAGTTGGTTTGTTTGAATTGGAATTCAAACAAGATTCTCAAGCAGTACATTTGGATGTTATGTCAATTTAGTCTCTTTTAAGTGAAGGTCATATTTAAAACCATGGAGACAGAAGAAGGTACATGAGGGTAGAATACCACCCCAAAATATGGGAGGTTTTTGGGAAAGTAAGGGAGAATCATGTCAGATGTTGCTGAAAAGTTAAGATGACAGAAGGATGTCCACTGGACTTGACAACATGGAGATTGTTGGTGACCTTGTAAAGGAGTGGTGGTGATGGAAGCCAATTTGGGGCAAAAACTGAATGGGAAATAAAGGAGCAGAGATAGCATGTGTTAACAACTCTGTCAAGAAACTTCAAGGGGAGAAATGAGGCCATAGCTGGAGGAATTCAGCAGAGGTACTGTAGAATTTGGTATGCTGATAGGAATGATCTGGGAGAGAGGGAAAGATTCATAATGTGGTAAGAGTAGGAAGGAGTTGTGAATGGGATGCCCATTTACCCCTGTAACAGAAAAAGACCATACTTGCCAGAACTAGTGCCTTTGTTTCAAGCACTTCATAATCCATCTGAGAAGACATGTTTTTCAATGAATTATGGATAGTACGAGACAGGCTGTACTAGGCAGTTTGAAAAAAATGCTCTGGGCGATATGGAAAGAAGTAAATCTACTTTGGTGGATAGGGGATGACTTCAGAGGAGATAACATTTGAGTTGAGCTTATAAAGAGGAATGGCCTTTTTTTGTCCTGGAGACATTCCAGTCAAAGGAAATAGCACAAATAATGGCATGAAGTAGTGAAAGTACAACAGGATTTGGGACATTTTATATGCTTCTGTGCTAGATGTGGGAGGAGATGGGATTGTGAAGGTTACCAGGAACCTGATTGCAAAGGGCCCTGAGATGGCCTTTATCTTGTATACAGTGTAGATTTGTGGAGAAACTTTTAAAGCTTTTCTCTGTGTTTAATGTTTTCTTCATTAAAAAAAATGGAAAGAATGGTACAAACACATAGAGCCATCACCTTGATTTAACACTTATTAACATTTCAGGACTTTGTTTCACATATGCATGCTATTGAGCCCTTTTAAAGTCATTTATAGATACTATGACACTTTCTCCCTAAATGTTTCAGCATGCGTTCTCTAAGAGGACATTCTTTTACATAATCACAGTTATCACACATAACAAAATTGATAATTCCTTCAGATCTAATGTCCAGTCATGGATTTTTTTTTTTTTTTTTTTTTTAAAGCAAGCGTGTGAACTGATTAGGATGGAAGGTCATGAGAGGGTGAAGGTAATAGCAGTAGGAGGAAGGGTTGATTGTTATGGGAAGAGACTACGAGTATTGACGTCAGTTATACAATTATTACAGAAAAATAGGTGAGAAATGAGGATTTCCCCCTAAATAGGGTCATAGTAACAGTGGAAATGGGATTGAGAAATGGAATAGGAGTGATGTTTGTCATCTGAAGGTAGGATTTTATCATTGACTGTGAGATGGCATTGGCTCAGAGTGATTCCAAGATTTCTACCTATAGTGACTGGATTGAACACTAAGCAATGAAATAAAATAGAGGCTCAAGGACAGAAGCAGTTTCAGTAAGGAGAATGCTTTTTTTTTTTTTTTAATTAAATTTGTTGCTAGAATGAGGTAAGTGTAGGTTTTTCATACAGAGGTGGCCAGTATGCAGCTGGAGATTAGGGGTGGAGCCTAGAGTTATCAATATCAAGGCTGTTGATTTAGGAGTTATCTATACATGGGTGATGATTGAAATCATTTGAGTGAATGAGGTTATCAATGGGAAGAGGATAGAGAGAAGAGAAAATGAGGGTGGAACTTTTCAAAACAGCACATAAAATGGGCTGAGGGAGAAAGCCAGCAAACAAAATTTAAAGATTTTATTTATTTATTCATGAGAGACAGAGAGAGAGAGAGAGGCAGAGGGAGAAGCAGGCTCCCAAGGAGCAGGGAGCCCGATGCGGGACTCGATCCCAGGACCCTGGGATCATGACCTGAGCCACGCAGGCTCCCAAGGAGCAGGGAGCCCGATGCGGGACTCGATCCCAGGACCCTGGGATCATGACCTGAGCCACCCAGGCTCCCAAACAAAATTTAAACTAAGAGGATTACTGGTAACAATTGCTGTGAAGCCAAGGGCTAAGGGAATTTTTAGAGTAGAGTGGTCAACATGGTTGGTAACTTTCAGGAGTTTCCAAGTTGTATGAAGACAGCATTTTATTTTTTTATTTTAAAGATTTTATTTATTTGACAGAGAGAGCGAGAGAGCACAAGCAGGGGGAACAGTAGAGGGAGAAGCGGGCTCCCTGCTCGACGCGCGGCTCGATCCCAGGACCCTGGGGTCATGACCTGAGCTGAAGGCAGACGCTTAGCCATCTGAGCCACCCAGGCGCCCCCTGAAGACATTTTATTGGCAATTAAGTGATCTGGTCACTGATGGCTAATAAGAAAGGTGTCTTGTCCAGACCTTTCTCTTGTCAGTGATTTGTCATGTGCTTAACTAGATTAAGACAAACGTGTGATGTGTGAGACTATTATAATAATAGGGTTTGGGTTATAGCAGGGGTTGAAAATGTTATCAATGGATTAAAGACTGCTTTCCAAATACCATAGTCAACTTCGAATTGCTAGCTTTTGAATTATATCAGCAACAGTAAATACATAGTAGATATTTCCTAGTTGAAAAATTATAATTTAATACCACTGTAATAATGCTTTCCTAAGTTTTTGACTTTTCTTCCCTACAGTGAAACAGATTCAGATAGTTCAAGCTCCTCCTCATCTTCATCATCTTCCTCATCATCTTCCTCTTGTATATCACTTCCTCCACTGCTGTCAGATGGAGAAGATGATTTACAAACTGAGAAGGAAAATAAGAATTTTCCTCTTAAAACAAAAGATGAGTTACTCCTTAATGTAAGTACTTAGATTTGTTATTAAACCTAATTTGAAAGTTATTAAATATATGTTATGATACTAATATTGATGTTATTTGGCCTATATCTGGCTCTGTAAATTTGAAGACTTCTCAACCTCTTATTGGGCATACTTTTGCTATGCCTTGGTTTTCTTATTTTTATTTTTTATGTTTTTTTTTTTTTTTAAGATTTTATTTCAGAGAGAGAGCGAGCGAGCACAAGCGGAGGTGGGGGAGGGAGAAGTAAACTCCCCTCTGGGCGGGGAGCCCAACCTGGGGCTTGATCCCAGCACCCTGGGATCGTGACCAGAGCCAAAGGCAGATGCTTAACTGACTGAGCCACCCAGGCGCCGCCCCTGCCTTGGTTTTTTTTAAATAAAAGAGAGGATTGATGTGGTTGCTAAGGTTTCTAAGGTTGTTTCTAAATCTAATATTTGGTAATTATTCTTGATGGACATCAACTTTAGCTTGCTATCTTTCCTACAAAGATTTCTTATGTAGATTTACAACCTAGTTTGGGGGGTTTTTTTTTGTTTATTTGGGGTTTTTTTTTGGTCCGCAAGTCAGAAAATTTTGCTCAGTAGTAATTGAAATCCTTTTAATTGATTGCATTCAAGAGAAGTAGAAAGGAAAATTAGATGGGTTGAGTTTCTTAGGACTCCTGTTAACTTGAAGTTTTGGGAGCATTTTTGTTGTAGATGGAGAAAACTTGTTTATTATAGGATGGTATTTATTGGCACTTGATAGGGTTGGTTTGTGAAGTTGACTCTTATGTGGTTATTTCCTTTTCTTCCTTCCATCCTAGAAGGATGATGGTAGTTTGGTTGAAACCTCATGATCCAAGAGGAACATCTCAGGATTTCAGAATATAGGCTGTATTGCCGCATGTTTATTCTCCTTACACCCACATGTACTTTAATTACAACTAATGCTTTTTAAAAATTTAATGATCACTAATTACATTTATTATGTAATACTTAAATCAATGAAACAGTTTAATGCAAGGTTTGAAAACATTTTAAAAGTCTCGAGGTAATCGGGCACCTTTTCATGCCTAAATTCTACCAATATTACTTCTTTTTCTCTACTTGTAATGAGAAATTTCCTATCTCATTTATGCTTTATATATTGAAAACCTCTTGAATTTTTATGCAACTTCATTGGTGGTTCTTGTTTTCATACTACAGACATTGCTATCCCTTACTGGTCTTTTTACACAAAGCTTTCCCAACATACACTATTTTCTGAAAGTATTGGGAGACTTCTTCGTTGTTTCTCTTGTATCTTGGTCAGCTTTCTACTTAAGTTTTCTCAGAGCATAAAAATCAACAAATAAAGGACCACAGTACTTTTATATGTATCATTTTCTTACTTATCTTACTTGACCTGGAATTCTTACCTTGTGAATCTCTTAAAATTTAATGCAAAATCTTAGTCTATATGTTTAAGTATTTTTCTTGGTAGAGTGCTCATATTTTCCTCAGAAAACTAAAGGGGTCCATGTTCACACAGAGGCCAGGAAACACATTCTGGAAGGCTAAGTTCATATCTGATTTTTGTAGTTCCCGTAGTGTGCAGTAGAGTGCTTGACAGATAATAGGTTGTCAGGCAGCAGTAATACATGATTATAGAATGAGTGAGAAAACAAGAGGCATTTTATGTTCATTCATTCTTAAACTATTATAGCACACTGGCCATATACTAGGTGCTGTAAACAAGACCCTCCAGTTTCTGCTCTCATCGTGCCCGGTGGAGAGAGGCAGACAGTAAATAAACAGAGACAAATACGATTTTGGAAGTGCTATTGAATTGTGAGAGTGTATGTTTGGCTCATATCAGAAAATTACATTTTTACTGGAAAGGTATGTTAGCTTTTGAAACTTGAACAGTGGGACAATCTGTTCTTTTTTGTGCCAGTTGCAAGGGGTCTTTGGGAAAGATGGAAGAATCAGTTATAGTCGTTATTTTTCAACTTTAGATTCTTGAGTAGCTGTCTGCTTTATTTTATATTTACATGATTAGGAAGTGAACTTATTGGAAGTTCCTAGTCCATTAGACCACTGCTAATGGGTGAGGTAGAGGGATGAGTTCCCTGGATTGCCATAAATCTTTGACTTAGGGCTGTGAAAGAGTATTATTAGGACTCCTTCAGGACTTCAACTCTGGAATTAAGGGAAGAGAGTGACTTGGCCCTGAAGACCAGGATGATAGGGCTACCTGTACTCAGTATCTTTAGGACTCCACTTCTTTCTTGCTCAGTAGGTTTTTCTCCATGGGGCTGGCAGTTTGGCCATTGATATTCCTATATGAAAGTCATGGGGAGGACTTGTACTGGTTTACCTGGGGCCTGGTACACAGCCCTGAACACATCATTGAGGCTAGTGGAATGTGTATTTGGATTGCTTGGGCATGAGTCACATAGTCACTCTTGTTTGGGTGGGAGGGTATGTAGGAAAGTGAGTGCTTTAGAGAAAGCACATGGGCAAGTGTGAGGGCGGGAACATGTAAAAGCCAGCTGACAGAAAGGGAGTGTGAATGTATGTGTATTTTGAGAAGCTTGAGGGTTGGGTGGGCGATACCAACCCCATGCAAACCACAAGGAATGGGTTCTCTGTCATAGGAAAGGAAGTCTTCTATCCATTTCAAAAAGGGATGCTGTTTAGTCAGTGATAATAGTCATCCTGTGTAGAGAGTAAAAGGGAAATACTTGCAGGGGGTTATCACATGTGACTTTACATTGGGCTCTTGTGGTTGTGAGCAAAAAAGACTCTCCACTTACCTCAAGAGAGGGGGGATGCATTGTAAACTTATTTGGATAGGAAAGCCATTGGGAATTAAGGCAACTATTGAGGATAGCCATGCTATTTCTTTTATATGCCTCTTGGATATTCTCATAGTTTTCTGAGTGTCGTTTTAGTCTTTCTTTACTCACTGACTTCTTCTGTTTACCTATAGATTAATCTTTTAAAATTCTAGCTTGCATGTAGATTGCTGTGACCCTGGCTCTAAATACATTGTCTTCTACTTTGACCTTCCCCTTGAACCAGCCAGTTGGTGCTATATTTCTTTGCTGACTTTTGGGGCAATCCTATTACTTACTAGATTAGTTTTTGTGTGTGTGTTTTGGGGTTTTTTGTTTTGTTTTGTTTTTGAAAATGACAGTCCACTTTTCCTGGGAACTGTCCCCTCTTGTTAAAACCAGCTCTAGCCAGTGTCAGATGTACCATTTTGTTCAGGTCATACTGGTATATCCTCTTAGACAGCAGGGATTGTGCATGGAGCATTTGATCTATGTATTCTATTTAATTTCCTAATGAAATGCTGGAGAAAATTAATGAAACATTCTATCCATGTTGTCTTTGCTAAAAGGTGTACATAAATTAAAATGGGCCAAGCAGTTCTATCAATTTCAGAGTTTGTGCTGGATCTTTAGAGATCTCTGGAACATAGGCATGCCCAGTTTAACTCAGTTTTATGTCCCACCTCTTTATAAAGTGTCTCATATTCTGGGCTGTTTCCTATTGCCATGCAGGCGTGCTGAGCTTAATTTTTACCTCCAGTTATTCTGTTTGTCAAGTAGGAGTGTCACCTCCCTGGATCTAGCTTTTTAAATCTTTTCACTTTGTTGGAAAGTTAGATCCTGGTGATCTAACTACTAACTATTGCAGATCTCTAATGGTAGGTACATGGGAGCTACAGTGAAGTAACCTCATGATTGTTTTTTTTTAGAATTAAACCTTAGAGAGTTGCAGCAGTCTCTTGGGATGACAAGATATGGTTATATCTTGATTTAGAAGAAGGGGTGAGGAAAAGAGAAAAAAAAGGGAATGGTTAGCTAAAGAGGCTTTGAAAAGGAGAGTAATCTTAGTTGGCTCTTTTTATATGTCACAGTTATGTAATATATGCTGTTAAATTTAACCATGTGGAATTATTCTTTTGATCATAAACTCCTCTTTAATGCTGAGAAGGTTTATACATGACCTACACAGTAAATGTAAAGCAGCATACGTATTACAGCTTTGAACTACATTAAACCACATAGGGTTTATTCAGTGTTTCAGTGAATTGGAAAATTAGGTCCTTTTTGAAAAATTTTCTCAGCAGTTTATGCCCTGGCCTGTTTATTTAAATAAATAAGGTATAATTAAAAATCTAGAATCATAAAAACATTTATGGGATTGTGACATTTCAGAACCTTAATCAGAAATGAATTTTATAAATTAATGCCTATTATTTTCTCTTCTGAAAACCTGAAAGGTTTTACATAACATTTAAAAGTTATGGTTACAGTGCTTATGGGGATAAAAAATGGATAATACTGCAGTAGGCATATTAATGCGTATGTATACACATAATAGCATGACTAAGAAAAAATGTAATGCTGGTAGGCAGTTCTTGGTACCTTCGTTATTTGGAGACTGCCTATATTATATTGTAAAACAAATGTATTTTGTAGTTAGGTTGAGTACGCTATATTTTCTTTCTGATTTTGGCAGTGCAAACACATATCATAAAACATCCTAACATGAGGATATGGAAATATCTGGACACATCAAGTGGTCAGAAGTTACAGCGGATTATTTCATACTTTTGATCTCCCACCATCCATGAAATTACAATGCACCATGGTCTTCACTTAATAATCGTTGACTGAATATGTTGTTTTCAAGGCCTAGCTTACTTTATAAATTTTGCCCTAAATGCAGGCCTCTTTCAACTTCAGCATTTTATGACTCTAAATGTGTTTGAAATTATTACATTGTATCATAGAATACTGAAGACACTTTTTAACATTCTTTTCAAAATATCTGATGTTTAAGAAATGGCTTATGTACTTGAGAGGAGATATTTTTAAATTGATACTTGGTGCTCTTTAAAAATAGTGCTCAGATTTTTTAAAAAATTAAAATTTTGTGCTTCATTATACAAAATTATTTTAGTAAAGCTTATAGCCAACAGATATGATCCCTTAAACTTCAGATAGTGTTTTCAGTAAAGT